TTTTTGCCAATAACAGAATTTGGTATCAAATTATTGAATTTAATTATTTTTGCAAATAACTGAATTTGGTATCAAATTATTGAATTAAATGATTTTTGCATATGTATTTTTTTTAACCAATGTTATAAATGAGGGAAAATACAAAAGGCCAGAGGAAAAAAATCAGACAAGTGACCCACCAAATTCTAGACTTCTGGCAGAACTTGTGGATCTACAGGTATTTTTCCCTTTTTTCATTTTACAGTGATAAATAGAGCTTAAACCTTCTCGTCTTTCCATCTGAATCCAATAGTAAATAACTCTGATATTTGAACTATAACATTTCATCAACTTAAACTTTCAAATGGAATTTCAATGCAACAAAATATTGAAATGTTAATAGAAAGAACTTCATTTGTATTAGGAAACGGAGGTGCAATTTGAAATGGGGAAAGCATATTTTATTTCCCTGGCAAAGTATTAAGGCACGGTTCTTCTGGGTGTTATCTGGATCTCCATACTGCTGCCAAAAGCAGTAACTAGCTATGAGTTGGAAACTGTATATAGCATAAAAAATAGCTAAATACATCATTTCTGTAAACAAAAAACTACACTTGCAGAACTTTTATGAAAAAATAATAAGATGAAATAAACATTTCTGAAATTTGTGAAATGGATTGTTCCACTCCCTTTTTTTCTAAAAAGTCTTTTCTAAGGTTAAAATATGCTGGAAGAATAACAAACAACCATAACAGTCTTAAAACTATTTCACTGTCCCAGGGAATTCACTAATAACAAAAATAATCACTTTAGCAGGGAATTCACTAATAACAAAAATAATCACTTTAGCAGGGAATTCACTAATAACAAAAATAATCACTTTAGCAGGGAATTCACTGGCAAGAAAATACTGTTGACCTCTTGGGATAGTTATATTTTTAATTTTAGCCGTTATGGCGTTTATGATGGTTCCGCCCCTGACACACCTTGTCACAATTTCATCATTAAACATCTTTTTGGCACATGCTTAATTTAGTTGTTTCTCCTTTGAATACAATCAATGTGATATTACGCTGTGAGCCGGTACAGACCGTGCTGACCATCGAAGATCACAATCTGTGGTGTCAGTTGTTGGCAGGTTGACAACGTTTACAGCTAGTCTACATGTCTGCCTGATTACTGTTCAATCCACACACCTATTGTTTCGTCCAGTATTGTGTTAAACTGATTCCTTTGTCAATTTCTGTTCATACTGTGCACAATTTAATATTAATATTTTCAACTATCTATTTTGCTTAAATGAAAAGAAACAAAGCTGTCAAGGACTCCAGCTTAATTAATTACAAAAATATTTGTCCTGAGATTTATTTGTGTCCCCGTGTACCACTGAGGTGAAGTGTGGTGTAAATTACTACTCCTATCTCATTAATGATTAGTTAACAAAAACACTTTTGAATCAAGGACACAAGTTTTATTATTGCGTTGTTTTTCATTTTGTTGTGCATAGCTTCTGAAAATGTGCAACAAAAAGTGATTCAAGGGCTGCTAGGTGAGTCTACACTGATCAAAATGGCTGGTCTGGTGGTGCAGTGGACAATCCACTCGCCTTTCACTAAGGCTTGACCACTTATAGGTTTTCTCCCGGTACTCAGGTTTCCTCTCAAATTAAGACCCCTGCCCCCTAACATCCGTGCCAGCAAGACTGATTAATATAAGTTGAAATAACTTGTTTCATAATTGTTGTAAAATAAATAAAGTTTACTTTTAAAACTGCTGTAGGGCTGTTAGGCAACTCTGCACCAATCAAAATGCATCCAAAAAAAATCTCAAACTTTTGATTGATGGATCCTGTATTCAGGTTGCCTTTTACAGGGTAATAATTATTTTACCTGTAGGGGTCTAATCACCAAAGTCACATGTTCGCTTCACTGCTTGTGATCATTTGTTTTAGGGTTGAAGAGAGTGGGAGTATTGTGTGCGGCCTTAGTAGGACCTTACCTGGTACCATGTTCCTCCATTACAGGTGTGATCAGCGTGTTGATCTGCACAAAGTTTTCCATCGCATAATTCGGAGAGGAATTTCTCTTCGATTTCCATGAAACTTCCATTTACCAATTCATGTTTTAATTTTCAATTGGATGTCAAATTCGTACATTATGGCTGCAAGTGACCATATTGGATTTTGGTACCTGACTTTAGTGTGTAAGAAAACTCTCGAAGGAATGTAATTTGAGTTCAAAACTTCCTACAAATATCTACAGTATCAATAATCCATTAAAGTACAATTTTGAACCATATTTGAAATTAAAAATGGCCACATCCTGAATTTTTGCACTTGAAGTGTCCACCAATGTTTTCATACAAGAACTCTTAAGAACACTTTGACTTTCATGAATCTTCCTAGAAATACTTATAGAGTAGAGTAGGATGCATACTTCAATATACAGCTGCCAATGGCCATCTTTGATTTCATACAGAAAAGGTTCCAGACAACTCCTTTTGAAGAAATTATCTGATTTTGATGAAACTTGTCTGGTATATAACAAAGTTTCTCAATTATATAGTTTGATGTTTGGTTAAATTTGGCCATATTGACGAAATAATAGACTGTCAGAGAGACATAGTAAATACAAAATCTGAGTGTAACAATTACGTTATTCATGACCTTAAAGTTCAAAACAGATTAAATCATATTTTAAATATACAAGTATAATTGGTTAAATAGTTAAGTAACTTTAAATGACCATGGGTCAACTGATATATACTATACAACATCAGCCAAAGAATGTGTTCCTGGTCATCATCCCACACATTAGTGTATTATATGGAAATAAATTAACCTTAATATGTTATTCAATGTAGACCTAAATGTTATTTACCTAGAAAATTACGATACAAGGATTTCTCTCTTTTTTCTCCTATTCAGTCAAATCTAAGTACAGTAAAACCTCTATATAATGCCCCTCACTTACTGCCAGCATACACCAAAGGATGTGCTCTAAATCTAAGTACAGTAAAACCTCTATAGAATGCCCCTCACTTACTGCCAGCACACACCAATGCTCTTGTTTCAAGCATTCCTCTGTACATTTCCCTCCATTTATCTCAAAACCCCTTTATAATGCCAAATCTTCTCTGGACAAATGATGGCAGTATAATTAGGTTTTACTGTACTACAATTGGATGCGGTTTGATAAAGATGGTGACATTTATATGTGTTTGGGATACACACGTTCTATATTTACACAAACATGGACATGGCGAGATTTAGTTGAAGGTCTGGATTATACAAATTAAACAGATAACTCCATACAACGAACACAACAGAAAATTTAAAAAATCTTAATTCACAATTTATTTATTGTTTATTTCATGATTCATTCATATCTCCTTTTTTTTCTACAACAGAATATTGCCAACATTTATCAATATGATACTATATGTAACATGATCATTGCGGGTATGAGTTTTGTATGATAATGAGTTTACATTCAGCTGGTTAAAAAATCTTAGCCAAGTTGTATAAGAAGACATGATGAATTGTCTCCCCTTATATACATTTTGTTAACTTTAAATATGGCACCAAGTTGTTTCTATTACTGTAACTAATGTATGTTGATATAGCAGGACACAGGCCCTAGTTAACGGTATATCCAGCTTCAGCAGCTAAATCATACATCAGTTACAGTTTTATAATACCAAACCATTAGCCTCAATGGTCACCTGATCATCTAAAACAAGAGGCCTATCGCCCTCAATGGCCATCTAAAACAAGAGGCCTATTGCCCTCAATGGTCATCTAAAACAAGAGGCCTATTGCTCTCAATGGTCATCTAAAACAAGAGGCCCATTGGCCTCAATGGTCATCTAAAACAAGAGGCCTATTGCCCTCAATGGTCATCTAAAACAAGTGGCCCATTGGCCTCAATGGTCATCTAAAACAAGAGGCCCATTGGCCTCAATGATCACCTGAAACAAGAGGCCCATTAGCCTTAACGGCAATTTGAAAAAAAGAGGCCTAAGAGTCTTACTGAGCATCTTAAACAAGAAGTTCAAGGGCGTTAATGGTCAAGATGGTTGCTATTGCCATAAACAATATACAGAAGTTTTATGCTTGACATATGTACGTTAAAGACTGTAGCAGGAGAAGGAAAATGGGCCAGAAAGGGATTCAAAATCTGTACTTCCACACTCTAGACAGACGCTGTTACCAAATGAGCTATATGGTTAGGTAGTCATTGAGACCTGTCACGACATGCACCTCCCTCCTTTTCTTACCGGAAGTTATTGCCTCTGAACACAACAATATTTGAAATCTAGGTTCAGGTATCCTGTAGTTCAGGTAATGTATTTACATAGGCATTCATTGCTTATGTAAATTGAATTACAATTGACAAGAATTTGTTTGGCATTCTTGTCTCCCTCTGAATGTCAAAAGCAACACTGTAACAGGAGAGGGAAAATGAAACAAAGCCATTTTGAGATTTGAACGGGGGACCTTCAAGACATACATTTTATCAAGCTTTCTGGTCACTGGCAGCCATACTACGAAATGATAAGCCCCAATATCATCTAGTTTATCACAACTCTCTACTGTCAGCATTCTACCTTCATAAAAATATCATGACCTTTAACCTCTTCGAACTCAGAAGTTGTTGGATGATCTGAACATCTTGGACCCCTTTGACCTTGAAAGCATGTCTAGGTCATTATTTGGACAAAGTTGAAAGCCCTTAGTCCCAGCAAGCTACAAATCATATTATCATTACTCTAGATCTATATTCAACAGATATTTAGAAGAAGTTGTTTTTTCAGACATTTCAGCACTTTAACATTGAATATACTTCATAGTCCGCCATCCCAGCAAGCTACAGCCAAGTATCTATACACTACACCTTATGGATCTAAATTTTAGTCACTATGGTTCCAAGGAATGGTGTCTTAATCATTTCCATGTTACCGGACAACAAAGGAGAACATTTTCATATCCTGACGCTAATCCTGGTAGCATGCTTGTGTTCTTTTATTCAATCTGAGCAAGCATATAAACGGTTATATGATTGGCATCTACAACGTTTACAAGTTGTGACCCAACGAATAAGAAAAAATATATCCAATTATCATGGCCTAGACCTGTGATGACATAATGCTGTTTGATTTTTTTAACATGTGATCCTTATGACATTGAAAGTGGACCAAGATACTTGATATAAGGAAATTTTATAGCACTCCATCAAAGGTACCTACTAGCAAACTATCAGGACACTGGGCCTTATGGAGCTTAGGAAGAAGATTCTTACTTATTATAGGGAAAAGCTTTGGAATTTATCATACTTCAGAAGAGATCGGAGTGCAAAACTTTCCCTTTTTGCCTTTGATAGAGCTGAAGCCCATCATTTTAATAACCTGAGATACCTATCATTAAAGTATTGTCTTTGACAAGTTTAGATGAAATCAACCCATGTAATGATTTTGAAAATATCAAAATGTAAACACATGACACATGAAGCATTACAATAGATGAAGATGAAGGTCAATATATCACATGACCATTTTCAGGAGACGTATAAAATATGACGCAATGGGCCACATTTCTGTAGTTAGATATAACAGAATCATGTCTCTGAAGGCTGACTGGCTCCTCTAGGAAATTACACGTTTAGCACAAAAGACGGATCATAGACCATTGCCCGTAGGATGTTAGATCTCCGTGCCGGATAATTGTGTTGGTTTACCAACATTTTTATTCCAATTTGTTTAGCACAAAATAGGTATCCAAGTGTCTACTATGTTCACCTTTTGACCTTTTTGTTCATATTGAGCCGAGGTGGAGGTGGAGGTGAAGGGGGTCTCTGTCTTCTTGTCTCCCTCTGAATGGGTGGCGGTGAGAAGCGGTCTGGGGCTGTGTGCTTGTTACGAAGTCGCTGTGACATCATTGGGGGTGAGGGAGGACGCTGGCTCCTTAGTGCCCTAGTAGATGGTGTCACCTCCTCCATATATGGGGGTGAGATTGCTCTCTGTCCACGGGTTAAAGGTCTGGAAGGCGGTGATAAGGGTCGTTGACGTTTAAAAAGAGGAGGGGAATCTATGGGTGACGGAGAGATCTGTCCTCGGGTCAAAGGTCTAGATGGAGGAGAGGGGGGTCTCTGTCCTCTCAAGGCAGGGTGTGGAGGGGAGGGAGACCTGGGGCCTCTGATAACCCGTAGAGGGGGAGAGGGTGGAGAGGGGGGCCTTTTGCTCCTGATACCAGGCGATGGAGATCGTGGCCCCCGAGTAATAGGGCGATTTGTGGGCGAAGGGGGTCTCTGTCCCCTTGAAGTTAAGTGTAGAGGTGGAGAAGGTGACCTTGGGCCTCTTACAGGACCTGGGGAGGGAGATGTAGGTCGATGACCTCTAATTACAGGACGGTGGCTAGGGGATGCTGATCTCTGTGACCTTGGGCTTGGAGACGGAGGATCATCAAATGAACCAGATGAACTGGAGATTGTTTCAATACAGTCATCTGGCGAAATTGGCCTTTGAACAACAGCCCTTGTGTGTGGTCTCTTTTGAGAAGGTGATGGAGATCTCTGACTGTAATGAGGAGGTGATTCCATGCTCGGTCGTCGATATGCAGGTGACCCTGATCTAAAACCTGGTGACCCTGACCTATAACCTGGTGACCCTGACCTAAAACCTGGAGACCCTGACCTATAACCTGGTGATCCTGACCTGTATATGGGTGACTCTGACCTTTGCCTTGAATAGCCAGGAAGTGGTGGTGGTGGTGGTGGTGGTGTGTCCCGTCCCCGGTAGGGGTAGGGGTAAGGTGGGGACTCTGGCCGAGGGGAGTGTGGTGAGGGTGATTTTTCAATAGTGTCATATGGATAGAAGTGTTTCAGGGGACTCTGAGGTGGAGATGAAGACCCGGGATGAGCCTCCATTGGAAAGGTCCAAGTGGCCCCCTGGTTGTGCCACTGACCCCTGCCCTGCTGGCCCACGGCTCCCCGCTGGTGACCAGGTCTTCCTTGGTTACCACCTCGACCACATAATTGCCTGTAAAATAAACACACAATACATTTAATTGTCAAAAGAGTGACAGACACACCGACATTAACAATCTAAACAAGAGATTCCATCATTTAAAGATTAAGGAATGTTGCTGGTACCTGCACTTTATTTCTGGACTTGGCATGTACAGGTATCAAGGGGGATCATGTAAACCTAGTTGCAATGTGGATTTTTGTTAGGTTTTTTAGTGTAGTTGTTTTTCAAATGCAAAATATTGCATTGTATATGGCCTTGAAGTCCGAAGTTCAAATGCCTTCAGTGCATTTTCTATCATGTTTCCACTAAATACAGATAACAAGAGGCCCAGAGGGGCCTGTATCAATCAACTGGATATTTGTGCAATTATGGGTAAATTTCTCAATAAAAGTATTTTTGCAAACATTCCCACATATTGAGTTTTCTTGGCTTAAGAATGTTCTTTGCGCCAGGTCAGCTAAAATGTGTCTTAAAGAACGTTTGCAGTATTTTTTCTGAATACTGGAATAAAATCTAAGCATTGTTGAGAACCTGTCTTAAATCTAATCCCTTCATAAAGTCTGTCCCAACTGTGTATGATTCTGAGCTCCTACCTTTTGCCTTGCTGCTGAACCCAGCGCTCTGCTTCACCAAAGTCAACATTGATCAGACTACTTTTGGCCAACCTGGCCGCTTCACCAAAGTCCACCATGTCAATAGGCATCCTGAGGTTCTTCCGTTTCCTGCGACCAAACTCATCAACAGATGACGTTGAAGAGGAACCTGACGCTGACTTTTTAGCATTGGATTTGCTGCTTCTAGAATGTAGACTCCCTGATGAAGATGACGAATTTGACCGTGACCTTGACTTGGACTTTGAGGGTGACCTTGAGGATGAAAATGAGGCTGACGAAGAGGAAATCGGGCTAGTCTGTCCAATTAAAGACACCGGTGATGTTGACCTTGAACTTATTGGGCTTGTATCTAACGATGACTTGACTTTATTTTTGTTCTCTTTTGCCTTGCTGACTGTATCGTGTGTTGCTCCTGGTGACGACCCGTGACGTCTGGAACTACGGAAAGTGCGGTGAGGTTTGTAGAGGTCAGATGTGTCGTATCGTTTAGAACTCAGTTTCTCAGTGTCTGTTGATCTACAAATAGAACAAGATAATAACAGTGACACAGTTAACTAGAACTGTAAGCAACAGGCTCCATATGTTTTAAGTTGATATCGTTTTCTGTCATCTTTTAGTTGCTAGTCAGGTCAACAGTAAATGTAACTAAATCAAAACAACACTGCTGTGTTTGACATTGTCCTTTCAGAGTGAGGTTGCCATTTCACATATTAATTAGAAAAGTGAAGTGCAAAAAAAAGAACAAAAGATTTATGATTTTCTGGCAGCCAAATTGTTTTTTTCTGAACAAACGGCTTGAAGCTGAAGAAGCTACATACAAATTAGGAGAATATCTGTATGTACTTTACTCTAAGTTATCTGTCTTATGGTTAATCCTTTTAACCGATTCAAATGTAATACAATATGCACAAGTACGAAGCTAAATCACCTAGATAGGAACTAGGTAGGTATAGATACCATCAGTATTTCCTGAGAATTAGCAGTTAGAAACCTTATCCATCAAATTCCATGATGACTGACTGGCAGCCATTCAATAGGTCTAATTAAAGAAAATTAACGATCAAATTTATAATTATCTTACAAACGGTGGATGCGAGGGTTCCTTCAGGGCTTGTACTTACTTCTTGCCAGACAAATCCTCCGTCAATGCTTGGGTTGGTGAACTATTGAGTCTGACACGTCCACGCTTGCCTCTGGTATCTGTGTCCACACTTAGCTGTCTGCAAGTATAATTGTTTAAAAAACGTTGTATGATATGTGTTTACATTGAAGGATTGGCTCTGTTGTCTAGGCTACAACGTAGTATTATTAGCATTTGACACCATTGTGTATAAGCTCAGAATATTTTACATTTGATTTATATATGTCTGTATGTGGCGGATATCAGCCTACCACATTGCACATTCTGGCGATATTTTAAGCGCATGTGTTGAAAGTATGAATGAAAGTGAGTGTTGTGTAAGAGTCACATGACGTGCTTGATATAAATGAATTTTTTGGTCAACATACTACTTCAAAATATATCAGATTAATATAAGTTATCCTTCTGAACAATGTTTTATATGTGTTACATTAGTTGTGTAGGATATAGACTACATTCAATGATTGACTCTGAGAAAAGAGTATGTAGATTGTTTCAAAACTCAGATGACGACATATGAAGCATTGCCTATGTATATCCTCATTAACGGATCAATTTACCTTTCGCCACTGTTCACTCTTTTTCGCTTCCCAGTCCTCCGGCCATCTCCTGCCGTATCCGATTTGACCGTATCCGAGAGGTCACTCATGGGACTAACTGCACGTCCAGAAGAATTGCTTTGAATGTCGTCACTGACTTTGCCACGAGATCTTGTCTGGTGGATTGATTGGCCGATGCCTAGCCCTGAGGAGGTGGAGCTATGGACCTCAAATATCGGTATAGATGTGGTGTCCTGATTGACAGCGATCTGATTCTCATTGACTGTTTCGTCCTGAGTAGGTGTAGGTGGTGACTCAAAGCTATCCTCAAATTCCACTGTAATGTACAAAGCTTTGTTCAAATCACACTGTGTCAAAACTCTTCTCAACCCCCACTGTAATATACTAAGCTCTCCTCAAATCCCACTGTTTCATACAAAACTCTCTTTAAATCTTACTGTTTCATACAAAACTCCTCAAATCCCACTATTTCATACAAAATTCTCCTCCAATCCCAGTTTCATACAAAATCTCCTCTAATCTTACTGTTTCATACAAAATTCTCCTCAAATCCCACTACCACAAAACTCTCCTAAAATCTTACTGTTTCATACAGAACTCTCCTCAAATCCTACTACATAGCAAAATTCTCCTGATATCTGACTGTAGTACACAAAACAACTCCTCTATCAATCACATAAAACTGTTCTCAAATTTCACTGTTACATACAAAATTTCTAAATATTCTGCTGTAACATACCGATCATCACATTATAGAAATAGTACCGGAGTCAAAAGTCACTTAACAAACCTGAACTTGAAGTTGTGTTTGAATTTCTGGCAACTTCCTCTCCATGTGATGTCATTTCCTGTGCCTGTGAGGTCACTTCCTGTCCTTGTGACAAGTCAATATCGGGAGTGATATCAACCATCATGCCTATTGTGAAGTCTGTCTCCACTGTTTCTGTTTCTATGGTTTCCTCCACTGCCATTTCCTCAACAACTAACTCTTCATAACTCTGACTGGAGAAAGGCTGTTTCTTCTCTGTGTAGATAGAGGTAAACTCATCGGATGTGTACCTGTAATTAACATTGTCATAACCTGTACAGAAACTTGTAACACCTGTACAGAATTATAAATACTTGTACAGAAATAGGTCGTACCTGTAATTAAGATTGTCATAACCTGTACAGAAACTTGTAACACCTGTACAGAATCATAAAGACTTGTACAGAAATAGGTCGTACCTGTAATTAAGATTGTCATAACCTGTACAGAAACTTGTAACACCTGTACAGAATCATAAAGACTTGTACAGAAATAGGTCATATAAACCTGTCCCTGTTTTAACTCCAGTTTTACTTATATTTTGTAAGTACCTGTACTTGAGTTGGAGTTTTGTATGTTTCTATTGATATGTAAAAATTATTGTCAGATTTTCAAATTAAACCTTTGTAAGTAGGATTCCCCGGAAGGGTTGTGTTTTATCTGCTAGACTAGGGAGTACAATAATGCGTGTTTGACTCGTGTACGCTATACATGGTGTCCGACACACACATACCGCCTCGTCCTGGTCCGCTGGCGGCGGAGGGCTTCCTTCTTCTCCTGTACTTTCTGTTTGGTGAGTTCTTCTTTTAGTTCTGCTTTTGTTTTTTTCTTCTTTTTTTCTGGAGAATCCGGACACTTCACTTCCATTTGGATCTCAGCCTCCTCTTTGCTCACCTCTGAAATATATACCAATATTAAATTTTTTAGTTCACTCAGAATCTGTTGAAGAGGTAAAATATATACCAATATTTAGTTCACTCAGAATCAATAATCACATTATTTTACTCACAGAACCTTGTGGTACTTATTACCGCCAACCTCCTGACCAGATATCATGATTCTAGTCTGACATTTCCGTTTTCCAGAAGAATATGTTCAAGTAGTTTAACAGATTTGACCTCTGTGAACTTGGATATAGGTCAAGGTTATTTATTTGTGCAAATTTTGTAGCATGAATGTATTGCAAAGCGTAATGGTTATTGACACATTTAATTTTCCTTCATACCTTTTGTAGTACTATGGGTGCTACATCCTGAATATGTAAGTTATCAAACAGCTGGTTTAATCTGGAAGTGGGGGTTTTAATGCTGCCAATTTTACCCCTTTTCTACCCCAGTGGCCTCTTAAAATGGCAAGCACCTTTTTTTTTAAAAATCTTAATCAATATAAGTTCAGAATACTTAAGTAGTAATAGATTTGGTTTTCATTGAGCCAGTGGTTCTCGAGAAGAAGTATTTTTAAAGAAAAAGTTAACAGACAGGTGACAGACAATAGAAGGCAATGCACAGCAATAGCTCACTTAGCCTTTTGGACAGGTGAGCTAAAAACTGTGACTGCACAATGGTGGTTAGTGAGCTTTTACAGCAATTCATTATCTTATAAAGTTTGCCTTTATTTATAAATACTACAAATAATGTATGGACACTGAGCACCCATCAATCTGCCCCTCCACTTACATTAAAAATTATTATGTCCTGACAAACATACAAAATGTCCAATTCATAATGAACATATAAACCAAAATTGTTATATTGCCTTGCAAATCTTTGTCTATTTCTTCTTCTTTCTTGCTGTCTTTGGACTTCTTCCTTTCCTCTCGTAGTTTAGCCTTCTCCTCCTCCCGGTCCTTGCGACGTGCCTCCAGTTCTGCCCTCCTCTGTAGACGCTGTACGTACCTCTCTTCCTTCTCACGAGCCTGTGGACAAAACAACATAGTTAATTCGGAGCTCAAAGGAATACATTTTGGATAAAATGCACTAATTATTCACATATAAAGAAAGAATTAATTGAATCTTTAACTCATTCACCCTTGAAAACACATTTGAACTCCTCCAATTCAAAAGTTGGGATAGTTCATTACGAAGTTCCAAGGGTGAATGAGTTAAGTAGATAAAGACAATATTAAGAGACTTACGATTCGGGCCTTGCGTTCCTCTCTGGTTTCCTCATCGTCGCTATCACTGTAGTTGTACTGAAGTGATATCAGGCGCCTTGGTTTTCCGGGTGTCGCTGCCCTAGCTGAAGCTGTGACCTTCTCTGTCATTTCTGTGACCTTTGGTATAACTGAGACCTTTGACGATTCCGTGACCTTTGGTAGCACTGTGACCTCAGCAGGTTCTGAGACTTTCGGTAGCATCGTGACCTCAGCAGGTTCTGAGACCTTCGGTAGCGTAGTGACTTCTGCAGATTCTGAGACTTTTGGTGATTCTGTCACAATGGTTGGTGATGTTGTTTGAGGTTCCAAAGTGACAGCTGCAGATTGTGTTTGCTTCTCTGTTCCTGGTTCAGATGGGGAGGATGTGATCTGTTCCTCGGCTGGTACTGGGGACGAGGCTGGTGATATGTCTGATGGTGATGAGGCTTGTTTTGGAGGAATGACCTCAGGCAAAATGTCTTGACTGTCAGCCATTTCATTTTCTTCAACTTCATCATCATCCTGGGCTTGGGCTTCAATAGAGACAAAAGTATAAAAGATTGTAGTATTTCTATTGTAGCTTAAATCACTGGGACACACTAATATTCTTAAATCACTGGGACACACTAACATTCCTAAATCACTGGGACACACTAACATTCTTAAATCACTTGGACACACTAAGATTCTTAAATCACTGTGACACACTAAGATACTTAAATCACTGTGACACACTAATATTCTTAAATCACTGGGACACTCTAAGATTTTTAAATCACTGTGACACACTAAGATACTTAAATCACTGGGACACATTAACATTCTTAAATCACAGGGACACACTAAGATTCTTAAACCACTGGGACACACTAAGATACTTAAATCACTGTGACACACTAATATTCTTAAATCACTGTGACACACTAACATTCCTAAATGACTGGGACACACTAACATTATTAAATCACTGGGACACACCAACATTCTTAAATCACTGGGACACATTAACATTCTTAAATCACAGGGACACACTAAGATTCTTAAACCACTGGGACACACTAACATTCCTAAACCACTGGGACACACTAACATACCTAAATCACTGGGACACACTAACCTTCTTAAATCACTGGGACACAATAAGATTTTTAAATCACTGTGACACACTAACATTCTTAAACCACTGGGACACACTAAGATTTTTAAATCACTGTGACACACTAACATTCCTAAATGACTGGGACACACTAAGATTTTTAAATCACTTGGACACATTAAGATTTTTAAATCACTGGGACACACTAACATTCTTAAATCACTTGGACACATTAAGATTTTTAAATCACTGAGACACACTAACATTCTTAAATCACTTGGACACACTAAGATTTTTAAATCACTGAGACACACTAACATTCTTAAATCACTGAGACACACTAACATTCTTAAATCACTGGGACACACTAACATTCCTAAATCACTGGGACACACTAACATTCTTAAATCACTGGGACACACTAACATT